GCATACAGCACTGCCAGCCAGCCTCTTCTCTGACTTCAAGGGCTGTACTATAGGCCATATTGCGCCGCCTCCTACTGGCAGCCGGGCGGGCGGGCGCCGCGCGCGCCTCGGCGCGCGCACGGCTCGCAAAATTCGAACGTGTAACTGCCGCCCGGCCGCCTCAAGGCTGCCGGGCGGCAGTACTCGCCTCGCAAGGCGCGCACCGGCTGGTCTGGCTGCTGCGCCGGCGGCCGCTGCGCTGGCCGCTGCTGCGCCGGCTGGCGGGCGGCACGGCCGCCGGCGGCCGCTGCACCCGCGCCTTCCCTCGCGGGCGCCGTCGCGCCGCGCGCGCCCAACTCTGCTGGCACACGGCACGCGTCGTCACTCAGCCGCGGAGAACAGGCGGTGCAGCGCGCGCGCGCGCGCGATCTCGTACTTTCAAGGCTAAATCCGGCCATTCCAAGGGTAAGACACGCTTTTTGGGACATTTTCGACGCTTTTGGCCCATATCCTCCGCCTCGAGGGCGTCCGCCAGCGCGCTGCGCTGCACACCCCGGCGCACAGGAGGCGGCGCCGGCCGCACCTCGGCCGCCTCGGCGTCGCCCGCGGCACGGGCGCCCCGCTCGCCGTCCGCGCGGTCCATCGCCGCATCCCCATCCCCGTCTGCGGCGGCGCCTCCTGCGCCCGTGCCGGCCTGCTCTGCGACGGCTCGCCACCGCTCGTCGTCCAGCATGTGCCACCACCGCCGATCCGGGTAGCCGTCGTACTCGACCTGGTGCGCGATCCGTCCGTCCCCGTCCTCCTCCCGCGCCATGACGGTCGCAGGGTACCACCGCTCACTGTCGCAGAAGATCTCGAGGCGCGATCCGGTGGACAGGACAGTGTGGCCGTCGAGCGCCGCCCTGGCATCCTCGCGCTGTCGCTTCCGCCGCTTCGCCTTCGTCTCCTTGCTGCGCAGCAGGGTGTAGTTCGGGCCCACCTCCGCCACGCTGTCCAGCACGTGGGCGGCGCTCGCCATCTCGACCGCGTCGTCCTCCGGCGGAAGCTCCGCGTCGCCCGCGGCCGCTTCCCGAGCGCGCTCGTCGCGCATCCGCTCGTGGTGGGCCTGCCGACGCGCCACGCCGGCGCCCGTGTGCCTCGCCGCCGCGTCCGGTGACGGCATCGGTCGCTGCCACAGGTCGTCCCACAGGTCGTCCCAACAGGTCGTCCCAAAGGGGACGCATCCAAACCGCCGCATTTCGCCCGCCGAATTCTCCCACTCGCTCTGCCCCAATCTCGAACAAATCTCGAGTCCTCTCACTAGTTACATACATATCTTGCGCGCTTGGCGCGCACTGACCACTGTGGGAGTGCGCGACGTCGGCGATCCCGTCCATAACCATATAGTCCAAAATGCCAATTTCTCAATAAATGCGCTGACGCCAGCCGCTACAACGGGCCGGCCCGCTCAAGCCCACCCCTGGGAGCAAGGCGGCTGTCCGTGTGGCGGTTGCCAATATCGACACGCTAGTCGCTACAGGCGGGCGGCGCGTGCCTCAAGGCGCCCCGCCCTCATCGGGGCTATACTTCAGGGACAGCGAAGGGGGGGCGAGATGACAGATGATGCGCGCGCGCCACGGCGCGGGCGGCTAGTCGGTCGGCGCGTAGTATCCGAGCCGCTTGAGAATCTGGAAGGTGCGCTCCGACTGGTTGAGCGCGTAAAAGTGGAGGCCGGGCACGAGCTTGGACGCGACGAGCTGCTTGCACAGGTCGGTGAGGTAGTCGATGCCGTACTCGGCAAACTCCGCCTTCTTGTCGTCCCCGCTCAGCTCCGCCACCCGCTTCGCCATCGCGGGCGGGATGCGTGTCTTGCAGAAGCCCGTCATGCGCTTGAAGCTGGGTGGCGGGCGGGGAGCGGGAGTGAGATGAGGAGGAGAAGACGAGGGCGAGCCAGGGCTGGCGGAGCCGTGGGGGGGGGGGGGACGCCGAAGCAGAGGGGATAGAGCGAGGCGGGAAGGAGGAGAGGGGGGTAGGGGGGGGAAGTCGTGGGCGGAGGAGGCGGCCGTGGGAAGGAGGAGGTGGGAAGGCGATGCACCCGCCGCACGCGTTGAGCGGCATGATGCCTACTCTCGAACAAGCTCGGGTGGTCTCGGGTGGTCTCGGGGGAGGAGGTACTGAGCAGCATGGCCGCCCGGGAAGATTGGCGCGGTGATGCCGGCGTCGCGAAGGTCCTGGACCCAAGCCTTGAAGACCTCGAAGTCGTAGAAGAGCTGGGTGATGATCACGTCGCCGCCCGCGTCGCACTTCTGCTTGAGGTAGTCGAGCTCGATCGCGTAGTTTTCGTCGGTGCACACAAACTCCTGCGCCGGCGAGCGGACGCCGCTGGGGGGGCGGCGGGAGGGGGAGGGAGGGGGAGGGAGGGGGAGGGAGGGAGAGGGAGGGAGAGGGAGAGGGAGGGAGAGGGAGAGGGAGAGGGAGGGAGAGGGAGAGGGAGAGGGAGGGAGGGAGGGAGAGGGAGGGAGGGAGAGGGAGAGGGAGAGGGAGGGAGGGGGGGAGAGGGGGGGGGGGGAGTCGCAAAGAGGGGTGAGAGAGGTGCTGAGAGGGAAGAGAGGCGGGAGAGGGAGCAGGTCGGCGGCAGGGAAGAGAGAGGGAGAGGGGGAGGCGGAGTCTGGAGAGGCAGAGGCAGAGGCAGAGGCACCTCACCAAACCACCGCCACCACCGCCACCACTACTACTGCTGCCTGCGGTTACTGCTACTGCTAGTGCGGCTACTGCTGCTGCGGCTACTACTCCTCTGACCTCGCCATCCACATCGACCAGGCGCATCTTCTCGCGGTCCGAGAGCGGGCGCGACATCTCGCTCACCTTAGGGAGCAGTGGAGCGCTGCCTCACCCCTCTCTCGGTTGAGACGTGCACCACCGACCACTCGCCGCCCGCCTTGGTGATGCGGTCCGGGTGCCCCTCAGGGTAGCCGGCAACCTGCGCGGGCAAAGCCAGAGAGGAGGTGGAGAGAGGGGATGTAGAAAGGGAGGAGGTGGAGAGAGGGAGGAGGTGAGGAGAGGGAGGTGGAGAGAGAGAGGAGGTGGAGAGAGGGAGGTGGAGAGAGGGAGGAGGTGAGGAGAGGGAGGAGGTGAGGAGAGGGAGGTGGAGAGAGTGAGGAGGCCGCTCGGCGATCCCGCTCGGGGCGCTCGGGGTGCAGGCGCGGGGTGCGGGTGCAAGTGCGGGCGGTGAGGGATGATGCGGGTTCGGCGTGAGGGATGATGTGGGGTGCCCGCGCGGCGAGGAGCAGTGCGTTGTGCGTCCGCGGGGGGGAGGGGCGCCTGGATGGAGAAGTAGTCGCCGTAGTTGGTGCGCATGTACTTGACAAGGTCGAGCGCGCACGCGAAGCCTCCCTCGGTCACCTCCCACTTGTCCTGCCCCTTGGGTGGGTCACCCCGCAGAGCGACGATGTTGCAGATCCCGGCCTCCTTGGCGCCGGCAAGGCCGGCGTCGCAAACCTCCTTGGACTGGTTGGTGCAGGTCAGGTGCATGTTCACCTGACGCGGACACCTCGCGCTCGGACGGGCGACGGGACAGGAGCGGCAGGAGGGCGCAAGGCGACAGGCGCGGCTGTGGCGGCTCCGCTCACCATGACATTGTGCTTCTGCTGCGAGGTTTTCGAGAGCTCGAGCGTGAGGTCAGCGGACGAGCCGCCCGCGCCCCATGTGAAGTCGACGAAGAGCGGCTTCTGCTTGCACATCTCGTCGATCACCTTGTGCAGCTTCACGACGCCCTCGGGCGTCTTTGGCGGAAAGTACTCGAACGAGATGAACGGCTGGTCAGTGGCGGCGGTCCAGGCGTTGACCATGTCGATGATTTTGCCGTTCTTGACGGCCGGCAGCTGGCCGCGGCAGTCGGTCGGGTTGCCTGCAGTGTCGGTCGAGCTCATGGCGTTCGAGGCGTGCAGCGAAGCGTCTTCTCGCTTCCAAGTCAAAAAAAAAGCCAAACTGTCACTCCCCTCTCTCCCGGCCGGGGTGGGGCGCGCGCGGGGGCGCGGGTGTGCGGCGGGTGTGAGGGATGTCTGTGAGCCCGAGAGCGATATGCCATGTCCGCCTTGCGTTGTTTCATAACATCGAAGGCTAAGCTCAAAAAAAAAGTCAAGTGCCCTCGCCCGAGGAGTCGAGCATGGGATCGAAGGCAGCCTCGATTGCCATACAGACATGGGTGCGAAACAACGACAAGACCAAGGCACGGGCAGAGGAACGAGAGAAGAATATAGGGTGGATAAAGCGCCTGTTCACGGCATGGAGGGTGCGACTCCGCTGGCGTGGGGAGGGCGGAGAAGTGTGAACAGACGCCGTTCCTCCAAGTCGACTCCGCTGGCGTGGGGAGGGCGGAGCAGTGTGAACAGACGCCGTGAGCTCACTAGCTAGAGCTCACACTAGAGGCCGTCATCGCATTCGCCCTGGGACCCAGCGCTGACTTCTGACTGTCGTTGCGGTCTATCCCTTTCTCGACTGTCTGAGCTTGTGCGTCTTGGGTCCGTGGTTGTGTTTTTGTGTGAACAGACCGTTCCTCCAAGTCGACTCCGCTGGCGTATACGGAGAGTCACGGAATCGCGCGCCTCCACCAGGAAGGGCTACGCAGTATCCCTGACATCCCAACGCGCAGTGGAGGAGGAGCGAGGGCAGGTGGCCCGGCCGGTCAGCCGAAAAAGAGGAAGAGTAAAGAGGCTAGATAGCCCTAGCCCTGGCGTTTTCACAGCCGCCTCCCCCCGGCCCCCCGGGGCGAGATGGGACGCCGTTCCTCTGTGGACTCTGCCCGCTCTCGTGGGTGACCCAAAAATGGACTTCGATCCACCGCTCGCGACGGCGGTCCTGGCAGGTGCGGTGGAAGGCGGCGCGTCGGAGCGCGCGTGGCGGCGGGAGGACCTGCAGCGGCGCGGCTCGTTCGGCGACCTCTCCGATGCCGAGTCGGACTGCTCACAGGCGTCCCGCGTCTCGCTGAAGCGAACTTGGTCAGAGTCGTCACAGGGGCGCACCGAGTCGAGCGGCTCATTGGCCGCGGCCTCTGAACCCGGGCTCGGCCGCGCGGGCACCTGGCCGCTGCAGGTCGACGATGACGAAGACATGTGGCGGGTGACGGGCTCCCTGTCTCGGGAGCGGGTCGGGCTCGTGGACCAGCTGTCCAACCTCACCGCGGAGGACAACGGGCAGGCCGCCGCCGTCGCCGCCGCGCGGCGCGGCACCCTGCTCGACAGCTTATCCGAGGCACGCTCAGGGGGCGGCGCGTCGGCGGCTGAGTGGATGTCGCTTGATCCGCTGCTGTGGCCGCGATCCGACGGTCTGCCAGCGAGTGGGGCGGAGAGCTCGCCATTCGAGGGTATTCTGGGTGCGCCCCACGTACCCGTGAACCTGCCCGGCGTCGTCGACGATGTCGGGAGAGGTGCGATGGCGGCGCCGGGCGCGCAGCCCGGCGGCACGCCCGGCGGCGTGCACGGCGGACTAGCAGCCGGGCCGAGCATGGGCGTGACGGGGCTGTACCCGCAAACCCTGCAGCCGCGGCCGGGCGACCTCGGGCCGGGATACGGGGTGGGCCCCTCGGCGTACTCGGCCGCCCCCGGCGGGCAGTGGTACCCCT